AAAGTTACAGTTCTTACAAGTCTGGAAGTCTGGTGCAAGCACTAGAAAGCAGTGTCTTTCAAAAGCAATGCAAGTGGTTTATGGCCTGTGTGCATCTCTTCTTGATGTATCCCTGCTGCTGTGATCTTCCCAAACTCTTTGTAATTAACCGTATTGCTTCCAGTTAATAGCCAGCTCCCAGCTACAGCACACACAGTGTTCTCAGTTTCCTTCTTTCATGTATTCTCCCTTCCACCTTCCTAACTTTTTTTGATAACCACCAGTGTAGGTACTGACATTCAAATTAATCCAAACCGCAATGGTTTCATCAGACTGAACACATGATTTGGCTCCTTACCTATTCCTGACCTGCTGCCATCAAGTAAAGGTCTCCTGTTCTTTGCAGAATGCTAACCCACACTTTGACTCAAGGCAAGGGGCATTCATTATTTCATTTTAAGTTATCTTTATTTCCTCTATATGGACACTCCATTTATGCGATTCACTTTGTGACAGCTACATTCTTGGACTTCAAATCTTCTTTACCTCCCACCCTGCTAAGCAATTCTTCTGATTCTTATATCCATCCTTTTCAATCTGCTGAGGAGTGAAATCTAATTTGTTCCAATGAGCAGTCTACAGATTTCAGAGCCCACATGGGCCAAGCTGTCTTTTGAAGATGAAAGCCAAAAGATACCCAGAGCACTTCAGGGCAATGAAAATACAGGTGATCTGGTTTTAATACCAAGCTGACTTCCCTCAGGGATTAATGATGGAGAAAAAAAATCTCTTGACATGAATGCCCCCTGCTCCAGACCCAGAGTGTAAGATCAGGGACCACAGCTGTTGCTGGATGGCAAGCTTGAGCCAAACAATTTCCTCCTGTCTATAACGGGATATGAAAAAGGCAAATGAAAATTAGAAAAACTAACACATCTTCTGCTTCCCTCCCTCAGGGAGAGAAAGAAAAAGAATATAACAAACAAGAAAGCATTCCCCACAAGCAACATTTTGCTGTGAGGGAAGCAAACTCTCAGCTCTCTGCCAGTAGAGCATTAAGCTAACATACCATAAGAAGACAGATCCTTGGACCACAAAACAGGGAGCCACATGTGAACTCTGAGAGCAATCTCCTGGCACATCCAGGAGATGAAGATGTTGGAGCAGGAGCCCTGATGAAGAAAGCTTCCAGTGCTGCTAAAATGGTCAAGAAAGATGCATACATGCATACACAGCAATTGCAGGAAAGAAGTGTGCCTGGGCAGCAACACCAATTCAGAACAAAACCCATTATTTCAGCAAATAAAAGAAACACAAACCCCACAGATGCGTGGGACAACTAAATCATCTGAGCCCTACCAGACCAGTGCCTCTGGTACGTGCCACTCCTCAGAAGACTGTTCCCTTACAACAGGAACACACTCAAACTGTGAATAAAGCTAAATAAATAAATGAAGGGTTAGAAGGAGAGAAAAATCAAAGTTTCACTGTTAATTACACAGCACAATGATAAGGGTAATTTTTCTTACATCAGAAAATAAATTCAAGGTTCAAGTTCCCTGAAGGATATAAAATATTAGAGGATTTTTTATGGTTGTAATCACAAACCCATTTCTCCAGCCACTACCGGCCGTGTCTAATTAGGGCAAAGGATGTTAATGATACAGAGGCCCAGCCCAGAGACGTCCTCCCCTGCAATATTAATTGCATTTAGGGAAAGATGCATGAATTGTGCTTATACAAGCTAATTACTCTGGGTTTGCTAATTAATACTGGAAAGTCGAACTGCCTTTGTCTTGTCAACTGTAATTAGCTGAAGATGTTTAAATTTCTTTCCTTTTTTTCTTTTCTTCCAGTAGTAAACTCACTGTTAGCTGGCAAGCAAGGAAATCATACACCGAGTCCTCGGTGCAGTCTGTGCAAGTCCATCTCACTTTCCTCCAACAAGACCTTGTGCCCTGCCCTGCACGGTGTCCCCTGTAGCACACACCACCCTTCCTCTCATAGCATCCCCACGGACACAATTCCCTGAACTAGGTAAGGCCCCCTCCTCCCAAGGACACAGAGCATGCTGGCACTGTCTTCTTGAGGCCATGTTGCCATCAGATTTATCTCACAAGTGTTTTAACTATTGCTATGTAAAGAACAAATTATTTACCAGGGCATCTAAGACGCATACGTGGAAGCCTATCAAACTCCTCAGTGAGATCCAATCAGCCAATTTACTGCCCCCACAGCACATTCTTCATTTCCAGTGGTCTGGGGAAGGTGGCAAAGCCATGAGCACTCTTCAGGGTGGCAGCAGAGACATCACCTCCACAGAGGTTTATCCCAGAAGCAGACCAAAGACTCAGCAAACTGTATGACAGCACCTGACAGGTGTTTATTCCATTTCACTTAGGGCCATAAGCCTGTTTGCAGAATGGCTGATGAAAAGCAATATCCACATTCATCAGCACCCAGAGCAGGACGAGCCCTTCTGCATTCCCCCAGCTGTGGAGGCTTAACATCAAACTAACAAGCAGTGGATCGCAGGTGAAAAAGGGGAAGAGAGATGAAAGGGAAGGCGAGATGCCAGGAATCCAAATCAGGCAAACAATTGCTTTAAAGGAGTCTGAAAATAAGGCCATGCAGGTGAGACTCTGATCTGGAGAGGAGGGAATAAAAAACCACATAAGGAACATTTTGTTGTTTGGCAGGGAGGAGAGTGGGGCTGATGGTGTAACTGCTGAGCACTGGGGCAGGCAGCTCATGGAACAGCCCCATCCAAAGGGGGCACACCTCTGCCACAAACATTGTAGAAGACAAGAAGTGACACATCTTGCCCTTTCAGAAGGGGGATGCAGAAGAACCATCTACCACCAGTGAGATACTGTCAGCAATACTGTCAGGTTTCCCCTCAAAAGGGAGAAAGAGGCAAAACCAATCTCTTTCCCCCTGTATGAAGAAATTTTCCTATATTTACTGAATGCAATTCAAAATACTGAATAAAGCCTACACCTCACAATTGTCTCAGCACCCCATAGCACAGGCTATTTGTGTGAGGTTGAGGTAAGCTTTACTGGAAGATCACAAGGTGTGCAGTCTTCCCCTGAGTAACCCTTGGGAGTAGGCACTGTACACTGACTACTGCTTTATCCTCTGCTGATGGATGATGCACAACACCAATTAATGCTTCAACACTGGAAGTTCCAGTTTCTCCAGCTCTCTGCTGGCCTGTTCAATACAACAAACTTTTAGAGGCAAACAAACAACTCAAAATTCAGGCTTAATAAGAAAAACTTTGAAACGCTTAAAAACGCCGCACATTACAACACTTGAAACATAACAGCGAATTTTCCTCTCGTAAGTAGAGTGAGCACAATGGAAAATTGATTATATAGAATTCCAAACTGGAACAAGGCAGCACGTAATGAGATCAGATGGGAAATAGGATTCATTCAGTTTTCTTTGGACATGGCAGTTTTGACCTGTGTCAACACAGAAAGCAGCTGGGCAGACAAAATGTTTGCCCTCAGCGTAAGAGCACCCCAGAACTGGGATCATTTAACACTCTCATTATAAAAAAGCTGATGTTGAAACAACAAGGAGCACAAATTACATCAAAGATCTTACCATACGTATGGCAACCTCTTAACAGGACAGCAGGGACATGTCAGTTCTGCCCTTCAGTACCCTAGTAGAGTTAAGCACAAGTCTAAAAAGACTCATGTTAGCACCAGAGTTTATGATTTGGATGTTAGAACAGATGTCTGTTTAGTACCTACTTACTAACCAGTGATGCATGCCTGTTTTTTCATTAGTAATAAAGTTAATCCGGTATAATGTTCTACTCTGCCCTGGTGAGACCCCATCTGGAATATTGTGTCCAGTTCTGGGCCCCTCAGTTCACAGAGGACAGGGACCTGCTGGAGAGAGTCCAGCGAAGGGCAACGAAGATGATTAAGGGAGTGGAGCATCTCCCTTATGAGGAAAGACTGAGGGAGCTGGGTCTCTATAGTTTGGAGGAGACTGAGGGGTGACCTTATTAGTGTATATAAATATATAAAGGGGGAGTGTCACGAGGATGGAGCCAGGCTCTACTCAGTGGCAAACAATGATAGGACAAGGGGTAATGGGTACAAACTGGAACACAAGAGGTTCCACTTAAACTTGAGAAGAAACTTCTTCTCAGTGAGGGTGACGGAACACTGGAACAGGCTGCCCAGGGAGGTTGTGGAGTCTCCTTCCCTGGAGACATTCAAAACCCACCTGGACACATTCCTGTGTAACGTTATCTAGGTGTTCCTGCTCCAGCAGGGGGATTGGACTAGATGATCTTTCGAGGTCCCTTCCAATCTCTAGCATACTGTGTGATACTGTGATAAAACACAACTATAGAATGAGTGGGTATCTTGGGTACTGCTCAGGTTTTTCTTGTGACTACAAAAAGCTGCAGGAATCCCACAACTCTCCTGTTAGCAAAAACACTGGTTCACAAACAACTTAATGCTTACACCTCATTTATTCCTGAGTAAGAAGAATCATATACAATACTCATGAAACTGCACATAAACTTCTCTATAGCCTGGTTTTCTGGCTTCTATTATTTCTGCCCCTTAAGGGAACTGCCAATAAAATAGACAAACCCAGGAGAAAATTAACAGATATTGTAAATAGCACTTTTGGCAATTCTGTTGTATCTCTTCTACTTGTCCTTTGCACACTTGAGACTGAATCAAAAGCCCCCAGAGAAAGGAGTTAATTCAGTATGAAATTCAGTGCTTGCTTCTACTCTAGAACTGCTAACAAAGAGAAAGGAAATTGGCAAAAAAAAGGGGAGACAGACCACTAGATCTCATCCAACACTTATTGCAGGTGACTATGGTGCCAAGAGTAGCAGTAACAATACCAATTTTTACAATGCTTCTTTGTTATTCATTTCTGAATGTTTGGAACTGATCCACTGTTTCAGTGAACTGAACTTTGCATGGTAATGGTCTGTAAAACACTGTAAAAAACCCAAAAAGATGAACACTCACCATCTCTGCTCTTTGCTTGTGATTCCCCACTTCTTCCAGAACTTGAGACAGCTGAGCCTTCAACACAAAGAAAAATAGGAAGTTAAGTCCAGATTATATTATCAGTACAAAAACTGCACTCTTTGTCACACACCCAGCCCCGTCCCCCAGGTACAGACTTCTATAGAATCACAGTAATTCCGACTGTAAGAAGCCAGCTCAATTCCTGCCCAGAGCTGGCTCAGCTCCTGTCACTTGAGTTCTGAGTATCAGCAAAGGGGTGAACTCCAAAACCTCTCCGAGCAACCTGTGTGCACTGGGTTTGCATGGCAAGGTTCTGGTACTGGGGGGCCACAGGGCTGGCTTCTGTGAGAAGCTGCCACATGGTTCCCCTGTGTCTGACAGAGCCAGTGCCAGCCAGCTCTAAGACAGATCCACCAAGACTGAGTCCATCACTAGTTGGTGAAGGATAGAAAAGACTTGACACATTTTTCTTCAGGATGAGGCTGTGAAAACTTTTGGACAGGAGAGAACCAATACAAAGGGATGGGAGAAATGAGAAATACAAGGAGGAAATGTTCCATAATTTACCTGATGTATAATATGGCTGAGTGAAAATAACCAAACCCAAACCTCTCAAGCTGCTATGCTAGCAGACACCTATAGGCAAACCTTGGACAGGAAGTCCAAACCAGCAGCATGATAACAGCAGATCAATACGATGTGGAGAAGAACTCAGGTAAGAATTAAATCACAGAGTAGGTTTCTTTCATTGCATTTATTTCCAGGCAGCTCATCTCAAAGGGAAAGAGTAGCTAACTAGTGGGAATTCAGAGACCAGCAACTAAACGGACTAGATTGCTGGAAGAAATGATTTATGAAGATTAAAAGATGTTTTAAATGTATGGTTTGCCTACAACTCCCACAGAAGAGCAAAAGGGACATATTTAACGTGTTGAGAGTTGTTACAACAATACAGCTGGAAAACAGGAGGCTTTTCCAGGACAGCAGATGCTGTCCGATGCACTCGTGGGCCGGAGCGGGGTCCTTCCTGCCCGTGCCCATGTAGGCAGGCATGGAATCACGAGACAAAGCCCCAACTTTCAGTGGGTCCCCTGTGCCTGCTCTCGCCTGGCTGGGAAACAGATGATCTGAATGCTTTATCACGTCCAGTTTGTAAACATTAGCCCTACCCCAGACTTTTTATTAGCTTAAATCAAATATTGAACCTAGCTCAGCTGTTAGAGGACAGCTGCTTGCAAAGTGATTCACTGCCATATTCCTTCTAGGCCACAAGAAAATACAACCTAATCACCAGCAGCATGACAGATGCACACATTTTTAATTATGAAGAAGAAACTGGGCTCTGAACTTATCCCCATGTCTCACTTCATCAGAGGGCTTCAGGGAAGCTGCCAACCACCACAGCCATGGAAGGAAGGAGCTGCAGAGGGCCCTGGAGTGGTACTGAGGCCCTGCACGCAGCCCCGCTTCAGGCATTTACCAGAACAGACCTGAAAGAAATAGTGTTATGTTGTTTCCTGCAATTTACCTTTTCAGGAGTGAACTGTTGGATTTCTCTATTTAATCATCTCTGGCCACTTCCAGCCAACAAAAGCATGAGCAATGAACCCGAGCCATTCAGGGTGGTCAGGAAGGACATGGTGTACAAGGGTCTTTGACACCTGCATCAGCAGGCACAAAAGGGTTATCTGTACCAAACGCAAGAGCAGTTTGCCAGTCCCATTTCAGAGCTTCTTAGAATCCCAGACTGGTTTGGGTTGGCAGGGACCTTAAAGCTCCTCCAGTTCCAATCCCCTGACACAGGCAGGGACACCTTCCACTAGAAGAGGTTGCTCCAAGCCCCTGTGTCCAACCTGGCTTTGAACACTGCCAGGGATGGGGCAGCCACAGCTTCTCTGGGCAACCTGCACTAGGGCCTCACCACTCTCACAGTAAAGAATTGTTTCTTAATGTCTAATCTAAATCTCCCCTCTGTCAGGTTAAAGCCATTCCCCCTTGTCCTGTCCCTACAGGCCCCTGTAAAAAGTCCCTCTCCAGGTTTCTTGTAGCCCCTTTAGGCACTGGGAGCTGCTCTAAGGTCTGCCTGGAGCCTTCTCTTCTCCAGGCTGAACAAGCCCAGCTCTCAACCTGTCTCCAGAGCAGAGGTGCTCCAGCCCTCAGAGCATCTTCATGGGCTCCTCTGGACTCTCTCAACAGATCCCTCTTTCTTATGCTGTTGTCCCCAGAGCAGGACTGCAGGGGCGGGGGCTCTCATGAAAGCTGGGTAGAGGGAGAGAACCTCTTGGACACACTCCTTTTGATGCAGCCCAGCATACGGTTTATTGCACTGGGAAAAGCAATGTCCTACCTATATGTAGCTCAGCTGGTTTACAGGCTTTTTGATTGATCACATTCAACTTGGTTTCTCTGGGATCTCTCCATAGGGTAGACTTGCATGTTGAATTTTCAGACTGTGCATAAAAGTTAACTTAAAGCCCCAAGGAAATTCTCATTACTTAATACACCTGTTAAAATTCCCATGGATCACTGAGTTTAAGCACTAAGAAATCTGATAAGCAAGCAGTTATTAAGAATCAGATATACAAACACATGTAAAGTCCAATTTGCCCTCTGAAGGGAACACAACCAGGTAAAAGAAAATGAAGCAGGAAGAACTCAAACCCTCTCAAGTATTTCAGTCAATTACTTTCAGCCTCAAAACCAAAAGTTTGTCAATTCAAAACATTCATCTTACATGACAACACGGCCTAATCTACTGTCAATGCTACTGTCATCCTAAAAAGAAGAGCATGGCAGGAAGGGGAAGATAACCTGTGCTCCGGCCTCACAGGGATACTGCAGCTCAGGGCTGAAAGAGGAGCAGGAATGGTTTCCAAGGAGAGGAACCGATTCAGCTCCTAAGGAGACAGTTCTGAATTGTTGTTTTCTTCCCTGCATCAATAATTCATCTTTTATACCTCCCAAAAGTCAGCCTTCACTGACAACGCTGGAGGAGGCTGGTCAGGGAGGGTTTAGTGAATGAAGCTGAAGCAATCTGGTGTGTACAACGCAGGTGTTAACACCAAGTGCATCACCAGCCCCACGCTCTTCTCTGGGGGCTGAACGTTAGCCGACTGTCCCGACAGGGAAGCAGCTCAAATGTGAGATTCACTTGTAGGCAAAAATGAACTACTCAGTCTCTAATGAACAGTCTTTCTATACAGCACAATACCCTCCTCTCTACAAGCAATTAGCAAATCGAAGCGCGCTCTCTTTGTGGACCTGCATTAATCTACTCCTCGACGTTGCACATTAAACAGCTCATAGGTACGGCATAGCAGAGTAGTAGCAACAGCCAAAGACATAAAATTAAAGCTTGCTTCAAAGAGTAAGGGAAGTGAAATTATGCATGCTGCATACAGGGGATAAATCAAAACAACCTTCATTTGGAAACATCATTTCAGTCTTACGCTTTCATCAAAAACATGATTCTCTTACCAGTCACATTAATACAAGGTAGGTGCTTTACCAGGGAGAGAAACAAGCAGCATATTCACTCCCTCAGATTAAAAAGACTCATTTTTATTCTTCCCCATCAGGGTGAAATACCTGAGACTATGCATAGCTGCCCATCCTGGGGTTGTGTTTTCCCAGCTAGAGATCGCAACTGTGGGTCTCCAAAAGGAAGGGCACTTGTTGGAAGGGCACTTGTTGGAAGGGCAGCACCACTGCTTGGGAGGCGAAGAGCAGGAGGTTCAGCCTGGCAGAGCTGTGACACAGCCACAGAATGTGGTACTTCTACAGCACAGACCCCAGGACACCCTGAGCACTGTTTGATATGCAACAGTTGTATGCAAATTCAAGTCAAGTGTGACAATTGGCAAATGTAGGTATAATGTTCATTAATAGCTATTTCAAATTAATTAATTTCTAAGATAAACTCTTGCCTCTCCTCTTTGAGAAAGTTAACACACAATTTCAATTTACAAGGAAGGATCAGCTACTGATCACAGAAATACGGAATCGCATGTTCTGACATGCCAAGTCATTTCAGTTTCCTTGTGCTGGCTGCCCCATTCGCTGGCTGATTTCACAGTAACTCATTTATGTGATCACTTGAAAAAGAAGGTATAAGATGAAGCTTCTTGGCTCAAGCTAGATGGCCTTCATGTGTGGCTAAAGTACGATGAGACCTATAACAGGCTCCAAGTCAGCTTATCTTATCTGATGCCACAAGCTGGGGAAGAAGAAGAAAAATAGCCCATCACCTCTTTCTATCAGATTCAGGAGGCACAAGGAAAACACTGTGCATCAAAGCTGCAGCTGGAATATAGAAGGAAACCCAAAAATATGGCTTCAGTCCCAGGACAGTTCTGATAAGGAAAAAGCACTGATTAGAACGCTTACAAGTCAATCGAACCTAAGCCCATATAAGCTGTATGCAGCACACTGAGTTACATGAACAACACAGGAGTACCATGAGAACACTCTGAAGAGAAGGTTGCACGCAGTAATTATCTCACACACAGAAATTTTTATACCATTTTGGCTTGCAGGAAAAGCAGGAGGAAAACCTTGATTTCACAAAAGCCACAGAACAGCTTACTTATGGGGGTGGCAGAGCCTGAGACAGAAGTAACTCATCAGCCACTTGAAGTTTGACTTGTGTTTATTTGCATACTGTGCTCCTGCATATTAAAATACTGTGAGAACTGAAATGAAATTTTCATTAGTGTTCAATGTGAAATCTCACCCATGGGATTCAGCTTCCAACACTTAATGCATGCATTTGCCTGTTTATACTTTAAAAGAATATATCCATTTATCCCATGCTAACCTTCAACCTTCAACCCCTTAGCACACCAGATTGGTAGCAGGACAGTATTGTTTTAGCATCTCTGAAGTGCACTACAAAATGGTCATTTCTAATTTAAAATATTTCAATGTTTTGTAGATGGAATTACTGATCTTTCACAGGACAGCATCAGCTGAGATCCCAATCAGGAAGACAGCTGAGTATCAGACATTGCTAAATAATTTTCTTGCTGCTTTACAGATTCAATTTCGTTGTTCTT